TAATTCAGTTCGGTAAGTCTTGCATAAATCAAATGCTGAAGTACCTTTAATTTTTGTCTGCAAATAGACTTAGCTGACCACAAATGCTATTACCAGCACTGTTGAGAACTCACGCTTTCTATATATTGTTACATTTTTTTAAAATTCCCAAAGGGTTTCTGTTTATTTAACACCTAAATTATTTTCCATTCTTGGAATAATGATTGTTTTCACATATTCTGGAATAGAAGTGAAAAGTGACGGCATTAAGGTTACTTTCCTGACTGATGGATACGTATGTGTTCTTAATCGAATTATACAAGAAGTGATAGACTTTCACAAATGTCATGTTCATAAAATTTAGATTGGGAAACATGTCTGAACATCTGTAGAGGCCTTTGGTGGTGCAAATCGTTAAAAGCAAGATGAATAAGCAAAAGACCGGCAGTTTGAATGCCCTCACAGATACACTGAAAGCAAACATGGTGATCTATATTTTAAAAGTCAAAGCACATGGAATAGTCTACTGTACACACACAAGGGTGCCATAAAGTAAAAATGACCCAAAGGCAACTAACAACCACAACTGGGTTGCTGTTAAAACGATGATATAATTTAGTCACAGACTAGGATGATGATTGGACAGCATAATAAACAGAACGAATGCCAATGAATTGTGCACATGAAGGTTCTTGAAATATGAAATATTTTGTTGCATTTTTATTATCATGGAAAAAAAACAGAATGCCCGCAAAATTCGTCATTGCTTAAATAATTATATACAGATATGTTCTACTTATCAAAATTTTTATGCTTTTTAAAGCTATATGAGTATATTAATTAGTACCTATTTTAACTAAATGAAATAAGTCAAAGATGAAGATCACTTTTATTGAAAAAACGCCAAAGTGGAACTAGCAGTCAGTTTTGCACAGAGCTATGAAAGAGGCACCATTCACTTCACCCAGTCAGAGGCATGGCCAAGTTACTTCCTTGGGAACTGAATTCCGAATTTCAGCATCAAGTCCCCATAGTTTGAACTCTGTGAATGTTCTTTGTTAGTGTGATTTTATATTTTATGTATTAATTGAGAGAGAAAGGGTGACATTCTGTTTCTACAAAGAAGCCCTATGGTATATTTATACTCTATGGGATTTACGCAGTGAAATCAATTCTATGACAGTAGGTTAAGGTTTTGGATACTACTGTAATTATACGATTTGTAATTTATTTGGTGTTTGATAATGCTCAATTTTCCTCATATAACTTAATATTTCTTAGCTTTTGTCATTTGTCTTATAAAGCATTTTATTGAAATGTCCTACTTTTGAATACTAGCTATGTATGGGTCTCTTATCACCATTAATGTAAAATATACTTTTCTTTTTTAAGTGCACTATTTATTGAGCTAAAAAATGTGTAAGTCAGTTTTCAGCACTTACCTAATAAATATTTCTTATTATTTGTAATCAACGTTCCTCTAAATCATTTACATGCTTCTCAATAAAACAAAGTTGGAGTCTGTACCTTTCCTTTTCTACCTTCCTTCATTGAGT